CAGCTTTATTTTCCCGAACGTTCGGAGAAATAGTGCCCAGCTTTATTTTCCCGAACGTTCGGAAAAATAGTGCCGGCCATTTATTAAATCTGCAACCTGTAAAACTAGATTAAAACTAGATTACAACTAGATTACAACTAGATCTAGATTCGAGACTTTAGTAAAGGCAGAGTCCAGGGAGAAACATAAATTAAATTCGTGTGGTGCAGATGAGTAAAGAGAGACCAAAACAATCTCTCTATTCCGACTATCATTGCTAATCACTTCGTCTAATACATGTTCCGGTAATTTAACTACCTATAAATAAATGGACGTTTGACCCGTGTCAAAGGTTGGGGGTTGCTGACGATTCGGGAGGTGGCTGCGGGTTGACGAAAGGGAAAAGCGCGTAGCCGTTCCCCATCAATCGACACGATTTAGATAATTTAGAAAACGGGCTTCTTACGAGGTCTTTCTCAGAATTAAGTTTCCCTGGCATGCTGTCTTCACATGTAATTATAAATCACCTTGTGTTTGGTATCAACAGAAAGCTTATTCAAACGCCAATCCAACGTAGAAACCATCAAGTTCCAGACATGTCTCCATTCGATGTACCCTGCGGTCAAACACAGTGGTCAGTGATTGTTTGCCCAAGGCAATGAGTGCTTTTCTCATGGCCTCTTGATTCTGATCCTCATCCTCAAATCACCGACCCCGCAGCATTTCTTTCCCATTGGGGAAGAGGTGGAAGTCGCATGGGGCGAAATCGGGCGAACAGGGCGGGTGTTCCAACAGTTTCCACGAGTAGCCCTCGAGAAGCTTGTTCACAACTCAGGACTTGTGAATAGACACGTTGTCGTGATGCAGGAAGACGTCTTGTTCAAGCAAAGCGGGTCTTTATTTCCGTATCGCAGGTCTCAGTTTGTCTTTGAGGATGCACCTGTAGTAGTCACCATTGACAGCTACGCCAGGTGTGATGCCACTCATGTTGAAAAAAACCCAATGAGCATCACCTTTCTCTTCCCGTGTTTTCTGTGGGCTTTCTGTGGCCTCGGCTCCTCCGAAATGAGCTATTGAGCCGACTGTCTTTTCAACTTGGGATCAAATGAGTGCACCCAAGTTTCATCGCTAGTGACGATTTTACAGAGAAACTCTACACCCTCTTGCTCAACGTTGGTCAAAAAGTGCCGAGCCTCTTGAAAACGGGCCTGTTTTTGCTCTGGTGCCAACAAATGGAGTACCCACTTTGCGTAAACGATTTTCTTGCCAAGATCGTTCGTCAATATTCGGTGAACTGTTGCACTGGACATACCGGCCATTTCACTTATTTTCCTGCATATGTGAGGCAGCGTGGTGGAATCAGGCTCTCGTCAAAATAATCAAAGTGTACAAACTTGCATTTTATCGCAGGTTTGTGAATTTTTATCAAATTTTTGTTTTTTGGCTCAAGACCTTTCATGCCCATTAAAGAACTCATTTTTGTGTGAATTTTTCTGAAAAACGTTGATTAAAGGCTCAAAAAGGTAAATATTCAATTACCACGGGCTCTTCAGCTAAGGAAATAACGAATCTTTAGCGGGTATTTTCTCACTAAATTTACCTCTGAAAACAGGTGAACCCCACCTCTTTCTTTCGCAAATATCTGGACTTGTATTCAAGAAAAAGGGATATTTTTTTCATCCAAATAAACAGAAGTGAACAACCTGTAAGATTACGCAAATAACTCTACATGCCCAAAAATTGACGAGAGCCTGATTCAACCACGCTGCCTCACATATTCTTTTCGTATCTTCCTCCAAAACAGCGCTGGTTCTCTCTACACTGTCGCCATAAGTAACGACCAGGGGGGGG